CTTACTTTTTCTTTTTTCTTTGCTATTTCTACATACTTTTCGAGTGTTTCATTTGATTTTTTCTCGCACAACCTTTCGTAAATTTTCTTTTCTTTGATCCCGGTCACAAATTTGAGTTTTAACAATAATTCCAACTCTGTTCCAAAATCGCATTCGCTGGCAAGAGTACATAGTTTTGCATAGTAATCCGCTATGCTTTCACCTGGTGTTTGTTGAGCCTCTAAAAACTTTTTTCTTTCATGCCACGTGATCGCTTTACTGGCGAAATGTTCCGTGAGTAATTTGTTTAATTGTTCGAACGTTTTTGTGTTAGGATTATCGATTTATTAACCGTGCGACAGATCGATCTAGACTGGCTTGCAGTGCTTGCGTATTAACCTTCTTCGTCATGCATTGTTGCCAGATCTCACAGATATTATTTTTTTAATGGAAATGAGGAATTGGTTTTATATTGTAAAATTGTTTCTTTGAATCTTCCTGTTTAGAAAACTACTTATATTTTAATGCTATGCGCATTTTAAAGGCGTTTAAGTAAAACTGAAAAACATTTGGAAATGATGTTGTTTATTTTTAACAAATATTTCTTAAAAATCTCCACTTTTTGTTTTGACAATTATTATTTTTGATTTACCTATGTATATCTGTAAAGGAAGTGATGAATTAGAAAAAATAGGCAAATTAAGTCGACAAAACAAAAGAACACAATTAGCAATAGGCAATTAACAAACAATGCGGAGATAAAACAATTGTTATTTGCATTAATGCGAAAGTAAAAAGTTTTTATATATTTATACCTATACTGCCGTGCTTAATGAAAACGCCGTAACCAACAATTTTGCGATTTTTGTTTTACGGCATTTTCTACTATACTGCCCAACTATGGAGAAAGGCAGTAACTGCTAAACACGAAATTTGTGGGAAATTAGCATAAACCACATTTTTATAAAAAGCAGTAGGTATTTAACTGATTTATTTAACTTATAAGATAGTTAAGTGCATTTCTTTGTTGAATTAAGATACAAAATGTCCATAGCTATATCATAGCACAAGAAAACGCATTTAGAATTTTTTTGTAGTTTCTCCATAGTAGGGCAGTATAGTTCTATAGAACAATTCATCCTGCGTCTATCCCCGGTACTTAAAAAACCGTATCTATATATATATACGGTTTTTGAGTACCGGGGATAGACTAAAGTGACCAGATCCTAAAAGTCCAAAAGCGGGACAAAGTTACAAAATTGTCAAAAATCTTGTTTTCATTTTCAATTTAGAATTAGGGTAGTGATAAATAAAAAATACTAAGTAGATTTACAAAATATGTAATGAAATACAAAAAAACAAACTACAAGTAAAAACGACAATCAGTATTCTGATTTTAAATTTTTAATACCTATAACATTTTTATTTATATTTTTCATTTTTATGAATTTTTTTTAATAGGGGCTTATTTTTTAACTTATAAATACAGTCTCCTTTAAAATTATATTTAATAGTCACTAAAGCTTTTAAAGTTTCTACAGACAAATTAGTTTTTTCGGTGGTCCAAATTTTATAAATCATCGAAAAAACCCGTTCGGTAGAAGCGTTTGTACCGGGCAAGCATAATATATATTGTACTAATTTTAAAATATTATTGAAAGGAATGTTATTTTCATCGAAATGACTAAACATTTCCACCTATTTTTGATCTGTTTTTTGCTCAGTCCAAAAAATAAGTTTACTCTCAGAAACATAATAATTATTATGAACATATCATCTCATCTCATCAAATAAATCATTTTCAACTATGGTGCATTTAGGGAATTTTTTTAAAAGAAACTCAAAACTTTTTTGTACTTGTTCCCATGTCGGAGCTTTTTTACTACTGTACTGGCTTAAATATTCTATTTCTATTGAAAGCGGGACAAAAGCGGGACGCTTATTAAATCGGGACCCTTAGCTCAGAATCGGGACTGTCCCGCCTAAATCGGGACGGATGGTCACTTTAGGATAGACACAGGATGAATTGTTCTAGTAGAAAATGCCGTAAAACAAAAACCGCGTTTTCATTAAGCACGGCAGTATAGAATCTGATAGCTATCTCAACCATTTACTGTTTTTTATGAGTTGGGATGCTATAGGTATATGAAAATAAAGGTAATAATATACAGTGTGTTCCGAAGTTCGGAATCCGAACTAATCAGTTCAGATACAAATATAAATGGTTTTGTTTTTAAATAAATGTCTTTATTTTAAAATAAGGAATTCCTTATTTATAGCCGGATTTAAAAATCTACGTATACCTATAGATATATAAACTGACAACTCCAATAAGGCACTTTCAAGAACCATTTCATTTTTTGATATGGCGCATCTGATATGGCAGATTAAAGGTACAATTGCGGCAAGTTCCTGATATGCGGTGTTAAAGATTATAGTGGTTATTTAAATAATTTTTAATGGATAAATGAAATATATATATATATACAGGGTGTTTCTTTTAACTTGAGACAGCTTAATATCTCGAGAAATACGCATTTCACGGAAAAATGTCTTAAATAAAAGGTTAATGTGACTAAAGGGGACATTATTTGGTGCTACCGCTAGCCACCCCCTACCCCTCCTTAAGGGTGAAGCGGGGGGGTAACTTTGGAAAGTCAAATGGAATGACCCGATTTTTTTCACAGAGTTAGGTAGTACATAAAAAAATAAATAACTTTTATTTAAAACTTTTTTCAATTTATCAACAGATGGCGCTGTAATTCAAAATTTAAGAAAAATGAGTTTCCTTGTAAAATGTATTATTTGAAACGTTTGAAAAACAAAAATTAAGATTAACAACAATAGTCGGCTATGAAAACAATTTATAACAAATGTTCGAAATGTCGTCATTCCATTTCAACACATTTTTGAATGCGGGTAATGAATTATGGCACACAACGCGCCAACATATCGGGCGGTATCGCCGCACAGGCGTTCCTGATCCGCTCCACCATGTCCTCCCAAGTTGTAGGAATTGCAGCGTAAACTTTTTCTTTCAAGTAACCCCACTGGAAGAAGTCTGGTGGCGTAAGATCAGGTGATCGAGCAGGCCAAATTACTGGACCACGTCTACCGATCCACCGCGGTGCACCGGCCATTGAACTCCCGATCCAACACCTCTCGAGCAATTGTCGAATAATGTGCAGGACAACCATCTTGCTGGTACCACATGTTTTGGAGCCGTGATAGTGGTACATCCTCCAAAAGGTCCGTCAGATCGTTTTCTAGAAAATTCCGGTACTTTTCGCCATTTAATGCACCGTCAATAAAGAAGGGTCCGATTAATCGTTCGCTTAAGGTACCGCACCAAACGTTTACCGACCAGGGACGCTGGTGCTCCACTTGGTGGCGAAATGGAAGGACGACATTTCGAACATTTGTTATAAATTGTTTTCAGAGCCGACTATTGTTGATTTAATGTTAATTTTTGTTTTTCAAACGTTTCAAATAATACATTTTACAAGGAAACCCCTTTTTCTTAAATTTTGAATTACAGCGCCATCTGTTGATAAATTGAAAAAAACTTTCAAATAAAAGTTATTCATTTTTTTATGTACTACCAAACTCTGTGAAAAAAATCGGGTCATTCCATTTGACTTTCCAAAGTTACCCCCCGTTTCACCCTTAAGGAGGGGTAGGGGGTGGCTAGCGGTAGCACCAAATAATGTCCCCTTTGGTCACATTAACCTTTTATTTAAGACATTTTTCCGTGAAATGCGAATTTCTCGAGATATTGAGCTGTCTCAAGTTAAAAGAAACACCCTGTATATATATTATATATATATATATATATTATATATATTATGGTGGATTAAATGTGGTAGGTATACAGGGCCGGATTTAGGCATGGGCCACATGGGCCCGGGCCCAGGGCGGCAAATTTTTAGGGGAGGCAAATTTTGAAGTCCAGTTAGAATTTTGCTAAAAAATCAAGAGCGTTTTATGCAGAATTTTTGTTTTCACTCAGATTTATACACTAATTTAAACTATAAAAAGTTGGAAGAGAAGTTTTTTAATACATTAGATAATTTTATATCAGACTACACTATTATTTTGCGTAGTGCGTCACTGCGTAGAAGGGCGGCAGTCGATGTACACGAGGCGAGTGGGGCGCGACTCTAGCTTATTTGCTGAGTCATTCGTTATTCGGGGTAATGATGCGTTGGGCCCATGGGCGGCAAGTTCGTAAATCCGGCCCTGTAGGTATATATTTATTAGATCAGGATATTCCACGATAATCAGAAATAGTTATCCCTACCGTCATTGCCTTAATTTTGAACCTAATTAATTAAACCTTTCTACTAAATTTGGCGGTATTTTGCCTGTAATAAGAGTTCTAAAATTTGTAAAATTAAAAATGCACTTACTTACTCATTTAAATTTAACAACCATTAGGTATTATTATTATTATTTTATGTGGTATAACACACTATTAAAACTATAGGAATTATACTGTCATTTTTAAAATATGGCGTTGGCCAAAGGATAATTGGATAGTGTTTATCGAAAAGGAACCACGCGCCAAAAACTTTTTCTGGGGTAAACAAAATTATTTACAAAATAACTCATTTTTAATGCTGCTCAAAAAATTAATAATGATTTGGGAACCTTCTCAATCCTTTTGTGAAAAGTTTCAAATGATGATTAACCTTTTGTGCATTATTAAAAATGAGTTATTTTACAAAAAAAAGTTTTTGGCGCTTGGTTCCTTTTCGATAAGCGTTATCCAATTAAAGGTTCATGTAAGTTTTATCTAATTATAAGGACCTTTACCTTTATACATTATAGGTATTTAGATTTTTATCTTTCTATAGAAAGTAGGAAAATAAATGTTTTATAAAACATTTATTCTCCTATTTTCATTACATTACTATTCATAGTTCACAATCTCGAATGTCCATTCATCCGTTTTAGGCGATCTTCAGATTCACTTGGTAGCCTTCAGCGTGACGTAACACATAGCTTTCCCCACGCCAAAGCCATCCGCGACTACGCTGCTTCTGCTGCTGGCACAGCCAACTATCCAGTTAGTTTGTTCTTAACCTGGCCTCGTCTGTGGTCCGCGTATCAGTGCGAACGCCTACCGCGATTTTTCGGCCGAAAAATCGCCCACCAACCGAAAAGTGAGAGTGTGCGTCGAAAATATGCGACCACTTGATTTTTGAGTGTCTTATTGTGCTGGATTATTTCGCCGTTTTAATTAATAAAGGTGAGTCGATGTAAAGTTTGTTTACGGTTTTCTGTCGCGATGATCTAATCTCGTTTGACTATTTGTTCGTTGAGCGTGAATCTGTATCTACAGGGTGCTACGGAATTATTGTTATATTGAAATGAAACTATCATGTATTACTATTATTCTTGCAGAGTTTATTTAAATGTTTAAAACATTTTATAACTTTTTTATTAAGTTTAAAGGATAGTGATTTAAAAAAATATCTGCTCCAGTATACCTACAATTTTAACGGTTGAACAGAAGGTAGCTTCGTCCAAAAAAGTATTTTACCAGGAAAGTGTGGATTATTTAAAAAATTCATCATAGTTTCACAAAATTGCAGTCTTGGGTCCGGATCATCTTCGTTATGTTCCTGCAATATTATATAATCTAATTTTGTATGGATGGAACTTTTCTTTCTTCATAAGACGTAATACGTTGGCTGACTTGACTTTCAGGCTACCCTATTGTAAATGACCGATAGAATCGAATAAAAAATAAGTAATTGGTTTGAAATGTGTTTTGGCGCTATGAATCACCAATTCATTCCAGTTGCATTCTATTGGTAAGTTCCAATTTAGTCAGCGGCTTAAATTGGAATATACCAATCCATGCCTATGCTCATCTCTATTGGCTAAATCCAATAGAAATGCACCTGGACTGAATTGATAATTCATAGCGCCAAACCCATTCAAACCAATTTATTTTTTTAAATTTGGATTAAAAATACCAGTTGATTTTTCATTCAAAAATAATTAAGATCCCAGAAGAATAACCGGGTAAAAACCATAATTCATTTTTCACAGAAGAGACAAAAAAATTATTATAACTGAGTAACTTTATTTCTTTATTATTTTTTTGTGTTGATAAAAAAAAAATTACTCGGTTATAATTATTTTTTTGTCTTTCTTGCAAAGAATGTTTGTAGGCACGGTCAAAATCAATATTATTTATGTGAATTTTTTTTTTATTTTGTCCGCTGTAACCACCATTCTCACTACATCGTGCATAAACCTTACACATATAAACATATTTTTAAGGTATAAGTACACACCACTATAAGTACACAACTACCACTAAGCACAGAAATCCATAGATTATAAAAGAAACCAACTAATAAAAAAACGACATTAAATAGCGTCCAAAGACTTGTTTGTTTCTTTATGATGGCGTCTCAACCATTCGAACAAGGACAGCTACACGAGAGCCCTCTTGCGATATTCTAAAGTATTGGGAATAATCAATTAGCAGATTCCTTTTTAGAATCTCACACTGGGAATCCCCAATGGAATTCAATTGTAAATTACCTATGGGTAGCTTTAACCAATCAAAACCACTAAAAGACAGTAGAATCATAATTCTGTTTTATATCGCTCCCAATTAAACCCAGTACAATTCAGACCTATTGATACCAACCAATACTTCAATTGTTTTCTATAAGGAATTAATTGGTCATTAACAACAGGGATGTCCAGTACCTTTAAATTTCCGTTTAATTTTACTAACAGTAGCACGAGTAATGGGTGGTTTTCAGAATCGATTAAGATTCTGGTTTAATTTTGAAAAAAAAATGTTCGGATTTAGTTGCACTGACTTTTTTCTTTTAGGTAACTTGGTCTAATATGCCAGATGATGAAGAAAGTGCTTTATGTGCATAAAAATAAAAAATAAACAAATTTTTAACATGACCGTCGCATTTTTTTTTCATGTGATATCACACATTTTTATTTGCTCAAAATTAAAAGTATCACCATGTTGTGAATTTTAGGTTAGATTCTCCACCGGTAAACAACCTACAACAAAAAAACATAGCGAGCAATTTATAACTATTTATGTTGCTATTTTATCACTAAAGACGGTCATGTTAATAACAAAAAATACGAAGAACTTACCTTTTCTATATCAAAATACACGACAGGAACTGTAAATATATCGCTAACTGAACTGCACAATTAACTGTCGCCATTTGCAATAATAAAATATTTTAATTCACACATGCAGTCCCAACGAACGGCAAATAGACGACCTAAAAAACCCAACATTTGTTCAATATAATTTTCTTTGGCTACTTAAAAGTTGAATTAAATTTTTTTTTTGCTCGAGGGACATACGACGGTCATGTAAAACAAGAGTTTTAAAACCAAAATTAAAAAATAAATTCATAGGATATTGAACTTTTGGTATTATGAATCTATAAAAAATATGCCTGTGTAGTAAAATGTAAAAAAATGATGGCTAATATACAGGTTTTAGTTTTAATACCCCAGGGACATGGTATCTTAAAAGTTACAGAAAACCACCCTTATAGGTCGAGCTGGATACTTTAAATTAAATAAAAAGCAAACTTCATGTTGTTTTCTAGTTTTAGTGCCACATCCTATGAGAATAAAAATTTTAATTCTCTGTGTTTCAGTTAAATGGCCCATATTTTTATATTTTGAAATATTCGAAAATATATAAAAAGTTTATGATCATTTCTTCTATAAATACTTTTAATTATAATTTTATAAAAACCCCATAGGTAATGCATTAAAAAGTCTTTTAATAAAAACTATTAAACATCAAAACATTATTAAAATTTTAATTTAAAAACATTCACTTTTGATAATTAATATCTCCGAAACTATCAGTCCAAAAGGTATAAATGTGTATATTGCTGAAATCACAAGTCCATAATCTATTCTAAAAGCCGAATTTTTCAATGAATTTGTTTCATACTTTTGCCGGTTACTGTATAAGTAAATGTCTTGGAAAAATTGTTGTTGCCCGCATTCTTTACCAATGCATGCTTAATATAGGATTATTATATCATCTGGAATCTAGTTACCGTTGCTATTTTCTACAATAAAAAAGTGACAGTTGGATAACGATTTTATTCTTCCGTTTTATTAATATTTTGTCTTTACTCAGAGTTCGTTAAGAAGTAAAACCTATAGATGCAATTTAGGTGGCTAGAATATTTTTAAATAAAAAAAAAGTAGTTTTTTCGACAAATTTTGTTCAATTGCACTGCTAAATCGCGCACGTTATTTGTGTTTCGCGTTGGACGTCAAAACTAAAAAACTTTGGTTTATGGTTTATGTACTATAGTACTCGATTTCTATTTATTATTCCTTTTATCATTGATTATAATCTTATAAGAATATCAACGCTTATATGCTCATATAGTTTCGTTCGTGTGTGTATTTTATCTAAATGATCATGGTGAATTATTGTGTTTTTTATTGTAAATAAAATTCAAGAACTAAATCTAAACTAAATGTTTTGCCAAAGGCTCCAATTCGGTAAATATATTTGTGTGTGCAGAATTAACTAATGATGACCTAATATAATTTATATTTAAGTTTGGACATTATTAAGAAATATAGGTATCTACAAAAAATAATTTTTGTACCTTAAAATCAAATATTTTTACTTAAAAAAAATTCCCTACAAAAGTTTTTTTTCGAGCGTTTTTTTTTAAATATTAAATAAAAGTGCTTTAAGGATATCTTTTCGAAAAACCCTTGAAAACGTAAACTGAGATATAAGTTAAAGTATTTGTATCCAACATTTTATAAAGATTGGTAAAGGCGTTTTAGAGTTAGAATCTTTTTACTTATTATGCGTTAATTTTGACGGGCAGTGTACACTAGTGTATACGTATATTTAATACTAGTGTATACGTATATACATACAATATATAAATATATTTAAAATATTTTCAAATGTCATGTATTGAAATTTGAAAGACATAATTTACTAACAGTTTACTAATTTTTGTAAATATTTTTAACTATAATTTTTTAATAAAAATAATTTTTTAATAAAAATAATTTTTGAAGAAAAATTTATTTTGGCAGAATTTTGTAAATCCTAAATAAATTTTTTATTAAGACATTTAAAATAAAAACTCGAGCGGAATATGCCTTATTCCAAACTTGTTACAGAATAGGTATACTATTAAATGTTTTTAAAAATAAAAATTCGAGCGGAATATGCCTTATTCCAAACTTCCCAAGCAGCATTTTAAGTTTAAATAACTACAACTTTACTACTAAGTCAACTTAAAAGTATTTTTTACGGTTAATCAAAACGGTTTTATAACGGTATAGATACGAAAAATTACCAAATTTGGGGAATGGTTTATTTCGTTATTTTACCTACATAATAACCTTCTTGATCTACTAAGAGAATATCGTAATAAAAACAATATAAATACCAGAAATTTACGTAAAAATAACGTTATAATTACTAACTGTTTGCTCTATCTTTCAAAAACATTGACATTCGTAATTTCTTTGTTCTTTTAATTTATATTTTACAAAATGGTACTTACAAAGTAATTAAGGTCACCCTAGAGTAAAATTATAAAATATAACTTAAATTGTCAAAACTAATAATATTTTGCATTAAAACTCAAACGCACATTATTTTCTTGATAAAAATAGGCAGGATACGTCTTAAAAATTATATATAATTTTTAAGACGTATATGGGGCAAAATTTGCCAAGTGTACCAGGTGAAAAAATTTTTGTCAACGATTTTGTTTAAACTTTACTTATTTGTTGTTCTTATAACGAAGAATCATAGCATAAAATTTTTTTGCTCTAGGATTGTTCATTCAAGAGTTATGGATTATTGAAATTTATCGATTTTTTACTTTTTTGTGAAATCGCTTTTTATTTAAAAATTCATAACTTCTGTTCTTCTCTTTATTAAATATTTCAATTTAACCTCCTTAAATGATTTTTTCCGTACTTTTCAATGGGCTATACCGTTTTTGCAAAAAAATAAAAATTGCAATTTTTTTTTAGATTTTGCAAAATTTTGCATTTTTTAAAACAATGTGTATTTTTTTATTTTTTTTGAAATAGCATAAAATCCAAGTTTATTATGTTACCTTTGAATAAAAAAAAATTTAGAGTGGGCCCGACATGTAGAAGGGAAGTTTTTCATATTTGAATGCCGCACGGTCTAGCCATCGAATAGCTACTACACTGCCGTATGCGTTTATA